ATATATATATATATATATATATATATATATATATATATATATATATATATATACTTAAGATTACTATAATTATGTATTGATTTCTTAAAATTTAGTGTTGGGTGACCGATCAAATAGCATTTAATATTACAAATCTTTAATCAAATGAATTACACATATTAATAAGCCTAAGGGGAAGGGGATTAAGATTTAACAAATAAATTACATAATTAATAATAATAAGATAAGAACTAATCTGGGGTAGATCTGCAAATCTGGTCGTTTTCAGTTCCGATGAAAAGATGACACAGCAACGGCTCAGCCCTTGTTTCCCGTGTCCACGTTCGGAGTCCAGTCGGCGACAGCCAAGCACACTCCCGGTGTCAAGCTCACAGATTCACGCCCAGCCGTCAGAACTTCGCCCGAGTGCTCCAATCTCAGCCTCACTTCGACCGTCGCCTCAACCTAACCTAAAACCCCAAGGAATCGACCTCACACACAGTATTTCCCTTCATATGTTACCCTCAGTCACAGAGCTCACGAAACCACTCACAATAGAGAGGTTTGAGACAAGAAGGTAGAAGATAGGAATATTTCGTGGTATCTTTCATATTCAAGAAGCAAGAAAGGAAAGAGAAGCGACCAAATCTCTGACCCCCATGGAATCCGGCGAAAGATTCGGTCATCGAGAAGAGAGGAGGCGCGACTGTTTGGTATTAGTGTTTTGAGACTTTGAGAGAGTGGAAGGATATATATATATATATATATATATATATGGAGCGTGGATGGCTGAGATCAAGAGTTATCAACCATCGGTAGTCTTCTTAGGCTTTAAGTGATCTAAGGCCGACACCAAGGGAGTGTGGGTTGCACAACGTTGGTTAGCAACTTTGGGCATGTTTATAAAATAAACATTTGGGCCCATTTTATCTAAACATTTATCAATATGAATATATTTGATTACTTGTTTCATTTACAACTAGATGTTATTTATTAAATATGTACCCAACACAAGATAATATTTTTAAATTTTTAAACATTACATTTTTCAATAGATATTTTTATTTGTATAATTTAATTATTCTTTTAGTTATTTCTTTAAATAATAAAAAAAAATGTATTTTGACTTAAAATACAAATTAATTGAGTTTGAGGGGGTAAGTGTCACAGATGATACTTTAGGGAGTAAGTGTTACGTAAGGTATACTTTAGGGGTATAAACTGTATTTTAACTCAATAAAATAAAATAAAAAAACAAAAAAATGAAAACAAATGAAAATAACCAATAAAAAAAAAGACCAATAGAGAAGGCAACAAACAAAAAGAAAAAGGGAAAAGAAAAGTGGGTGAAAGGAAGAAAACGAGGACAGGAAAAAAAATGTGAAAAGATGAGGCACGTTCATAACCTTCATTTTACTTTGAAGTTTCAGCTTGCTTCTTGCTGAGGTCTAGCTGAATTAATAGATCACTCAGTTTTTAACGAATCCGCAAACTCTAGAATAAATATAAACTCAAAATATTGGTGATAATTAATTCTCCAATCAAAAACACTATAAATACGATTAAAAAGTGCATGGAATATTACGTTTATGATTTGACGAATTCATCTCCATCACCCGTAATGAGTGACTCACTCGAAACATTCATTAATTTCTCTACTGCTTTTATATATGTCAAAAAGTAGTATTACAACCATCCACTCGTCTTTTTTTTTTCCGGTGCTACAAAACGTCATATGATTTTCTTAACTATCTCACACTCATAATACATTATTATACGCAACAGAATACTATATACTATACATATAAATCCGACCATTGTGTAAATACGATGAGATGTTGAACTCCCTTTAATAAGAGTTACCTGTACGTAGGATTATTTCGAGGGCTTAGGCAGCGGCTTGAATTTTAGTAGTTTGATAAGTTCATAAGTTCTTGTATCTCTACCCGAATGCAGGCATACATCTAGTGCAGTTAATCCATCCTGAGGAGAGAGAAAACACACACACACACACAAGAATAAGATATGAGTTCGTTTGTTTATATATACAACACAGCATTTCAACAATAACAAAAAAAAAAAAAAAAAAGACCTCGTGTTAAATTATGTAAGAGTTTATTGCATTTAGTACCCTTGTGTTATTATCGAACTGCTAAAAAAAGTCCCCGTGTTATTAATATTAGCAGAAAACCCCCTATAATGTATCTTTTTAGCAGATAGCTCCGTCAACTAAATGGTGAGGTTTTTGTGGGGTTGGTTGCTTAAAAAAATTGCACTATAGAGGGGGGTTTTGCCAATATTAATAACACGGACACTTTTTTTAACAATTAGAATAAACAGACGGGTGTTTAATGCAATAAACCCAATTATTTAATTAGTTATTATTACATCACAAAACCTTAATGCATGCCACTACTCATGATACTTCATTTTACATTAAGGCCTCGTTTGGTTGCCAAGATAAGATTAAACAATCTAATAAAAGCCAATTGTATTATTGGACTTTGGGAGATCCAATAAAAACATGCTTAGAAGGCAAGATAAGCCCTGATAACATAATATTTGCCTGGTCGACCCGGCAAATTATTGGGGATACCAAACAACAAACAAAGTTCAACTATTTAGTTTATATAATGGCTAATCTCCGCAACCAAACGAGGCCTAACAATATCAAGATTTGATCATAATGTGTTACTCTGGCACGTATATGTGTCGAATTAACAATGCATGCTCGACCAAAGATGTAAAAAGAAATCCTTCTATCTAGCAGAATCACCAGACGAGACAATGTTAATGCACACGAAAATAATTTCAAATACGACTCTGCAGTTAGCAACTTTCATAGCCGCACACAGAATCGGTTTTGATCAACATTAACAAATATAATTAACTATATTTTAGCTACAATAGTGTATATATATTTTTTTACCCGATTCTTGAGTGTTTTATCGGCACCCTTGATCAACAAAAGCCTCACTACATCTGTCCTACGTGATTGCACAGCCAGGTGTAGTGGGGTCCACCCAACCTAGTAGTAATAATAAACACAAGATTTTAATACCAGGTATAAAAAGTACGCCAAAAATAGGTTGGTTCGAAATGTAGATTGGTAAAAGGCTTACATTGTCTTGAAGATTGATATCGACATTGTATAATAATAGAATCTTTATCATCTGACTTGAAGCTGCGAATACAGCATAGTGCATTAATGTAGCTCCCTCCTGTCGTAGCAGAAAGAACCCCATTCAGAAACATAACTAACGAAGAAAAGGAGGACTTACGATTCTAAGAATAAGTTAGCCGAGTTTTTTCATTAACAAAGTAGCTTTCGACTTACGTTATCACGAACGAAGGGATTCGCAGATTCCCTCAAAAGAAAGTTAAAAATAGCCTGCTTTTTGCCCAGTATTGCTTTGTGAATTGCAGTCAATCCATTCTGTCGGAAAAAATATTAGTTACACGAATCGGATAGTGCAGTTCGAGGCCAGAATATTAAGGCATATACAATAGTAATAAACGGCAATTGCCATGCAAGTTCACCTTGTCAGGGGTGTTAATGTCAAGGTTGTTGTGCTTTAACAAAGAATTCACAAGGTAGAATTCTCCCGACGCAGCCAGAGTATGCAGAGGATGCCATTTTCCCTGCAAATTAGTTTTTGGCTTCCCTGATTAGTATATACAATATTCCAAGGCCTCGTTTGGTTGGGTAGATTAGACATGATTAACTAAATAATTGGACTTGATGTTTGGTATCCTGAATAATTTGTCGGGTCGACCCGCAAATATTATGTTATCATGCCTTATCTTACTTTATAGGCATGTTTTTTATTGGATCATCGACGATCAAATAATATAATTGTGTTTCATTAGAGTATTTAATCTTATCTTGGCTAATCATATCTCGGCAACGAAACGAGGCCTAAATGTTTTTATTTACAAAAAAAAAAAAAAAAAAAAAAAAAAAAAAAGGAACTAGGAGTAGCAGCATTGGAATCTAGAAACACATTTAGAACAAGAATTTTCAGGGTCAAAATGGTAAATTAAAAAGAAAAAATTACCAGTTTCACATTAATAAGATCAGGAAACAAAAAAGATAGACTGTTCAATCTAGAAAGAGAGATGGTTCGATTGGACGATCAATGAAAGTATCTGTATCTCAATGAAAGTATATGTATCGTTAAGTTTTAAACGAGTAATTTTATATACATAATGCTGATATATAATCAAATATGAAAATATTTCATCCCCATAGCATTAATATCAAGAAAGTCCATAAGTTTTTTTCCCTTAAAGTAGTTCCATGCAGCTGAGAATCAGTAAGAGCAGCCGAATTACGAGAATTGCACGAGCAGTAATTTGACTATAAATAAACATACAGAGGACAAAGCTATAAAACCTCAATAAGCCGTTCGTTATTCTTACATCATGAAAGAGAATAGAAGAGACATGAAAAAGTTACTTACCGAGGTGGCGACTGCTAAATCAGGGACCCGCTTATTCATCAACATCTTCTCTTCCTTTGAGAAAAATTTACCAGAGCCGCCTATTCAAGACAACTGACGATTAGAACAAACAACAAGGAGAATAAATAAAATTGTCGGAAATACTACAAGAAACAGGATATACATTTTCTCTCAGAGTAGGATTATGTTACACACTTGAGATTTACGTTTTAGCATATAGTTACTGCGCATTCTGTCCAAAATTCAGATTTTAGCATATCATCGTTAATCGACTGCATAGTTGTCGTATGTATCGAAACATACTGAAATATATAATAAAGTGTGTCATGTTGAATGGGTACCGAACACATTTCGGATATCCATCTTTAAAACACGGGAAACTTTCCACAACTTATCCATTAATTCTCCAGCGTCTCGAAAACTCGAAATTCCAGAGACGAAAAAAAGCATAATAACAACACGAACACATGACATACGGAATCCATCGAAAATCGACTACCAAAGTATAAAAATTGAAAGATTACTTTACTCTTCAAAGAATATACCTTCGGATTTCGCAGCATTGCCACCGTCATAGCTCCCACTGCTGAAAAGCGCGGAGATATCTTCCAAACCTCCGCCGTAAACCGCCAGCCTTGGGTTCCTCGGGGCAACTCTATCCGCCTTCTTCTCGTACTTATCATTCGCCTCCAAAGATTCCGATTCTGTTTCAGGTTCGGGTTTATCCGGTTTAGGTTCGGGTTTATCGAGGACCACCGGGTTCAATTGCTGAAGCTTCTCACGCTTGAGCTTTTCGTAGTCCTCCGAATAGAGAGGCTTAAGTGCTTGCCTTCGCTTCTCCACCCTCTGGCCGTATTCCAGCGCCTGTGATAGCTTCCGCCTCTCCTTCTTCGAGATGTTAATCTCCCTCTGAACAACCATCCATTTCTCCGGAATTAAGTTTTCCGGCGAGACATCTGTAGTGATTTTCTTGTTGTTGTTCGATTTACTGGGCGGTGGGGCGACGTTGTTTTTGAAATTCGGCGTGTTTTGGAGAAATGGGTCATCGAAAATGCCTTCTTCGAATACCAGGCAGTCGCCGATGGCGGGCGGTTCGTCGTCCTCTTCTGGATACGGTGGCGGAACGGCGTGGTGGGTGGGGGAATTGGCGAATTTTAGAGGAAATGTTCGTGTGGGAGGGGGGAAGCGGAGGTTGGTGGAGGTGGAGGAGAGAGAAAGAGGAGAGGTGTGGAGGAGAGAGAAGGTTAAAGGGGTTTGGGGGTTTTGCAGAAGAGTTGAAGGCCAAAGTGATGCGGACATGGTTTCTTGGTTTGGTTTACCTTCTTCTCTGGCTCAGGCAAAGAGAGTCGCCAATGGTTTATTCAATTTGGAATTTTGAAAATTACATTTACACTCACTTCAACTTAATTGATTAAGGGATAATTTGATAATGGGAATTTTTTTATTTTAAACAAATCATTATTATTGAGCATCATTCGTCATACTCAAAAGGAAAGATTCTCATTTTAAGTACAAGAAAAATCCATTTCAGCAGCTAACAAATGAGTTAGTCTATTATCATTTCTTTTGACAAATGAAAGGAGCATTTTCTAAAAGATTTGGACTGAGCCAGGCTCTTCTCGAAAAAAGCACCATAAGTTGACTCCAGAAGATCGCCTTTGGTGAAGGCTTCAATGACGGGCAGACAATCACCCTCAACAATAATTTCTTCCCAGCCTCTACTCCGACCCGTGGTAAGTGCATGAAGAATCGCATAAGCCTCGCATTAGATCACTTTTAGTCTGCCCGGACGCTGCATCACACTCCACCATAAACATGTTCTGTTCCAATTTCGATCCACCATCGCAGTAGAATAAAAGTCTACCTCATTTGGAAAACTGGCATCCACATTTATTTTAATAAGACCCACTGGTGGAGCTTTCCATCTGCTGGGATGGCGTTGGGTCATAGTAATCCCCAGTGGAAATTGTGCTTGTTTATACGACTCCAAATACAAACGACTCCAATTGGTAAAGTCCAGCGGCTGCTTGAGTCATGGTTCTCCATGCATGTCGTTATTCCTAGATTCCCAAGCTTTCCTCATTATGATTATTGCAAGCTGTAGAGTATCATCGTTCCATTTCAGTTGCATTCTCTCAAACCAGTCCCATGTAGAGAGGAAGACGGGCCTACTGTCAAGTGCAAACGGTTGCTCAGCCCATAACTTATCCATGTCACTACAATGTAGATCGACATGCAAGAATGTTTCTACCCTATCGCCGCAACGTATACAGATTGGACGGTCGTGTATTTTTCGTCGAAAAAGTTTAGCTTCGGTCGGTAAATATCTGCACATGCACGCCATAAAAACAATCTAATTTTCGGGGGAAGTGAGATGCTCCAAATCTTGTCCCAGTTCTAGAAACCGCACCACTTCTCGAGCCATTTCTATTAGCTTGATTTTGTGCCGAGTTGCGAACGCCCTTTATTATGTTGTGGTAGCACGAGCGCGCCGTAAACCTCTCATAATCCGAGTAGTGCCAAATCCAGATATCCTTCACTCGACGAGCTCCTATCCGAATTGCCAGGATACGTTCGCGGTCAACCAGCCAAAAAAGGTCATCGAAAAGAGTTTTGTTCCAAGCACCGGTTGTGTCGTCAATTAATCCTGAAACTCTATCTGGTTTTGCTGTGTGAAAAGGTCTACGTGTAATAATTTCGAAATTTCCATCATCTGCTAACCAGGGGTGTGCCCAAATAGATGTGTTGCTACCATCCCCGATCCTTCGTCTGCTCCGCCCCCACAAGATGCTCCCAAGCCTTAAGGATACATTTCCACGTAGCCGATGGACGGCTCACTTCCCTTGTTGTAAGAATTTCGCTATTTGGAAAGTATCGTGCCTTAAGAATTTTGGAAATAAGAAGATCCGGATTTATAAGGACCCTCCAGGTTTGTTTCGCCAGGAGAGCGAGATTAAAGCTCTTGAGATCCCGAAACCCAAGACCGCCTTTAGCTTTGGGCAAGCACATCTTACTCCAGCTCATCCATGCCATATATTTACCATTCCCGTTTCCCCACCAAAACTTGCGAATTGCTGACTCTAAGTGACTCAATAACCCACAAGGTAACATAAAACAACTCATTAAATAAGGGATAGCCTGTAGCACCGACTTGATCAAGACCTCCTTCTCAGCGCGAGATAATTGCTTCTCTCCCCATTCTCTAATCTTGGCCCAAAGTCGATCTCGAAGGTAGTTGAATATATCCTTTCTAGTTTGGCCCATTGAAGCAGGCATGCCGAGGTACTTGTCGTGACGATCAACTGTTTGAAAACCCAAAATACCATGAATTGAGTTCTGAATTGTTTGAGGGGTGGTTGGGCTGAAACACATGGTCGTTTTTTCATAATTAATTTCTTGGCCGGAAATTCTTGTATATGTCTCAAGGATTCCTTTCATAGTCCGAGCATCTGCCTACGTCGCTTGGCAAAAAAGTAGTATGTCATCGGCAAAACACATGTTGGAGATCGTGGGAGCCGTTGGAGCAATCTTGATGCCATGAAAGGTACCATCAACCACTGCTTTGTGGATCATAAGAATCAAAGTTTCTGCACAACAAATAAATAAGTATGGGGAAAGAGGATCGCCTTGGCGAAGGCTTGTAGATGGGTGAATCGAGCCAAACTGTGAACCATTGAAAATAAAAGAATAAGAGACGGATGTAATACAAATCATGATGAGCTCAACAAAGTTAGAAGGGAAGCCCAAGCGGCCAAGATTTTTTCTCAAAAAAACCCATTCAATCCGATCGTATGCTTTACTAATACCCAGTTTAACTGCTAAATAGTTCATTTGTTTTCTAGTATTAATCTTAATAAAATGATTGACTTCATAAGCAACTAGCACGTTATTTGTGATAAGACAACGATGACGAAACATATTGAGTAGGCGAAATTATATCATTCATGCACATTTTGAGACGATTGGCAATGGCCTTAGATCATATTATATTTTATAAATCACCTTACAAAGGCTAATGGGTCGATATTCAGTGATTTTCTGAGGCTGACTAACTTTAGGAATAAGAAAAATGAAAGTAAAGTTCATAGAAGAGGGCAGGTGTTTATTATTCAAGAAGTCTAAGACACACGACACAATATTAGACCCTAAGATGTGCCAATATTTAATATAGAATAAAACCGGCAGACCATCGGGCCCCGGGGATTTGGGGGGGGGGGGGGGGGGTTGGGGGGCGTATTGGATATGACTTTTGTTACCTCAACCTCCGAGAATGGAAGAGACAACATCTGAATGGCATGGATAGTTACTCTCGGTTCCAAAGCTTCCAACACCTCATCGATCTCACCGTCATTTGGATTGGTGGAGGTAAAAATCTGGTCGAAATAGTTCGCAATAATGCCCTCAATTTCCTCCTCCTTATCTCTCCATACACCATTTTGATCTCGTAATTTGTCCACCCTATATTTTTTATGCCGAATCGTGGCCTTGGAATGGAAAAATCCCGTGTATCGATCGCCCTCTCGGATACATTGTACACATCAACATTGGCGCCAATAAATATCCATGTCGTCATAAAGTTTCTCTAATCTGCTACGAATCCCTAATGCTTCCTCTCGAGTCGCAGCAGTCTAGACTCCCAAGTCGCGCTCAATATATATATATATATATATATATATATATATATATATATATATATATATATATATGGTCGCTTTGGGTTGTGGACCGGATTTTTTAAGTAAACCAGAAATCTGACCCAAATAATTCGGGGTGGCAGACATCTTCACTGCTGTGTAGAATTTTAAAAGCAAAATATGCGGGTTGCGGGCTGGCGGGTCGGATTTGCCGGGTTTTTTTAACACCCATAACTACAACTACGCCTAAAGTGAAGATGGATCGAACCACTTGCGGAATCCCTCAGTCAAAAATGAAAAGTCGTGGAATTTGTATTTCTACACAAGAATATGTTGCCCCTTCGATACCTGAACATGAAGGAGTCGACTTCTATTCTTTCGTGCCCTGATTTATAGTTCGTCTTATTCATTCCTATGTTAATGTCACGGCGGATGAAAATTGTGGGTATATGTGCATTGCTGCAGACATGCACGATGATCAAGAAAGATGGTCTCAGGTAAGAGGGAAGTTGCTTATTGAGTTGTACGATGTTGATGCGTACACGTTGATGTTTAACATTACTGGATACGCTCAAGTGATACGAAAGTATGATTGACGCGCATATCATTGTCCATAAGAATATTGGTTGAATATTGGTTGGACATGCCTGACCTGGTTTTAACTATTTCTGCGAAATACAATTCATTGGTGATGCTTTTGAATGAAGTAAGGAGTATGACTTA